CTGGAACTGAATCTGTGATATCTCTGAGGTATGCCAGTAGCTTAAAAGATCTATCTTTTCTCTTGAAAACATGAAATAAGTGACTTGGTTTTAAGAGAAAAAGAGCATTCTCTACTAATGAAGGTGCCAAAGAGGGGAGATAATCTTTTGTTCTGAATATATTTAGTAAGGAAAAGCAGCTGACCAGGTCTCCTCAAATAACCTACAAGACAGACTAGACTGAAGAAAGAAAGAAAATCTCAATAACTTTAGAAATAGGCAATTTTAAAGAATGCCTACCTCCTTCCTGCCTAGTGCAGGCAAGTCTTTCATTTACAAATACAATGCTATGGCCTAAAGTAGAATCTGTATTTATGAAGATGAAGACGCCTCCAAATAAAGGAAGATCCAAAAGAAATGAAGCTGGGAAGGGATCACATACGTGACTTCATTCCAACATACTGTCAAATGTACTCACAACTGAAGTGGATAGATTGCTAACCCTTTTTCACTTTTTGCTACCAGACTTTCCCCTCTCTCAAAGATAAATTCTCTTACACTTTAAACAAAAAGTGTCAAGAGATTATACTTCAGGTAAGTTAATTTGCAGACCATCAGGGTTGGAAAAATGATAAAGCATACCTTATTCTCGGGGTCTAATCAAATCTCAATCCTGACTGTGCATCAATATTATGTGTTGAGTTTTTTCTCAAAAAAAAAAAAAAAAAAAAAAAAGGCCAGACATGGTGGCTCACGCCTGTAATCCCAGCACTTTGGGAGGCTGAGGCAGGTGGATCACCTGAGGTCAGAAGTTCAAGACCAGCCTGGCCAACATGGTGAAACTCCATCTCTACTAAAAATACAAAACTAGCCAGGTGTGGTGGTGAGCGCCTATAATCCCGGCTACTCGGGAGGCTGAGGCAGGAGAATCTCTTGAACCTGGGAGGCAGAGATTGCAGTGAGCCGAGATTGTGCTATTGCACTCCAGCCTGGGCAAGAAGAGTGAAACTCTGTCTCAAAAAAAAAAAAAAAAAAAAGAGAGAGAGAGAGAGATGGCAGCAATTCATCCTAGATATGCTAAGTATTAGTATCTCCAAGGAAGGAGTCCAAAAACTTTTGATTCTGTTTTATTTTGGAACTAACACAGGTTATTCTACTGCACAGTCAAGGCTGAATATCACCATCCTAAGCTGCAGGCAGAGATCTACATGAGCAATCTCTTATTAATGATGATGATGATGATGATGATCCAAAACCTCTTGTATTCAGTCAGGCAAAGCTCAACAATCAGATGACCATGTTTACCCAAGCAGGCAGGAATCAGGTGTAACTAACACCTTCTGCAGCTCTCATGAGGACACGCATAGTTTTGTGTAGAAAATAGATTTTCCCTTTTCTTACCTATGACACCAAAGGGTTTCGTGTCCTGGGTAGGAATCAATAAGATCAGTGCTGAATTCAACTTCTTCTTCTAGAAGATGGTGAAGATTAATCCTTGGTTCCTCTGTTGAAACTGCTGCTTCCTCATCTTTTGGAAGAACTAGCGCTGGCTCACTTCTCAAAGGATTTTGCTCCATCACAGAACTGTCTATCACAGTTTGGCTAATCAAAGACTTTAGCAAAAACTGGCGGTAGTGAAATCCACTGTGGTCTGAAACGTGCATAGATGCCCAATGTTTAGTAGAAGACAGTTCATCAAGAAGAATCTTGTAAGAAGAAAAAAGGGAAGTAAGAAGAAGAGTTCCCAAAGGTTCTTCTTTCTCCATTATTGCCTCTGATTTCTCTTTGATTTGTTCCTTTTTTGACAAGGCCATTCTTACCAATATTTTGTACACAATGTCCAGCACAGTGCTCTCACTTAGTGGAAGCTTCATACATGCAAATTTTCTCTTCCCCATATAAAAGTGATAGATTTTTTTTTTTAAGATTAAAGAATTTAAGAACTCATTTGTCCTCCTTCCCTTAGACCTTGACTACTCACATTCTGATTGATACACACAGAGAAGGAAAGACAAATTCTAAAATAATGATGAGTATTAGGGTATTCATTTACAAGTAATGCTGACGTAAAAGGAAAAATATAAACTCAGATTACTTTCATATAAACTTTATTTTACATTTAATAAATGTGTATAATATCTAACTTATTATGTCTTCAACAATAGGCTCAGTGAAATTATTTGTTCTTCAGTATAAGCGCCCTGAGGGCAGAGACCATGTTTGTCTTGTTCACTACTTAATTATAAGGGATTAGTAGAAAAACATGATGCACTAATAATAAGATTGTTTCAAGAGCTCGTGACTTTAACTATTTGTCTCAAACTTATTTAACAATAATAAATGGGTTTTAAAAGAAATGAAATAAAATTCAGCAGTAAATTGTTTAAATCTTTGTGATACCACTATCTTGCAAACTGAAGAATTTCAAATGAAATGCTTTTTTAAAAAGCAGCACTTATGCAAAAATAAGTTATTTGAGAGTGTCTTGGACAGGTAGCAAACATAAATCAGTGAAAGGTATATCAAGTGCCTACCATGTTCCATCAGAGGATTTTCAGACCAGCTAAGGAAAAAAGATACACATTTGTGAACAGTTAACAATATAGACAGCATAATGCTGAATGCCACCTTTACCTGTCTGTCAAAGGTCCCAGACAAATGCCTTCTCCTGTACCATGATCTTTTTTCCATTTCTTACACCATTTTTCTTCCCCGGGGATCTTTCCTTTTCCTGAACCCCCACAGTACTTATGTATTGCATCATATTTATTAAAGAATTTCAGTGCATCTCTTCATTCCCATTAAACTCAGTGAGTGAGGGCTTTAAGATATTTATTCATTCCTATTTGATACTTCAATCCTCCTATACCTACTGACATCAGAGTGGATACATAAATATTTTATGAAATGAATGAATGAACAATTTAATAAATAAGGCGAATAGTATAAAGGAGTAAGATTACTTCCAGCCAAGACAGTCAAGTTGTATCAGTGATATGTTTTAAACATCTCCTTTAAGTTCCAATGAGTTTATTCACAGCCACCTAAATTTATTACAGAGGTTAGAGCTGGCAAGTCTCTGAGAAATGGAACACAGTATCTTTATTTGATTTTAAAAGGCGAGCAAAAAATAGCACCAGATAAACTCCTACCTGAAATAAAAACTAATCTTACGTTTATTACATTTTTGAAAAATAAACCTGTAGAACATTCTGGCTATAATACAGCAGCTTTTTTATTTTGGCATGGCTTCTTAGTATGGATTGAAAAGAGTACTCTACTTATTTAAAGTGAACTTATATAATACGAAAAACATTTAGATTATTTCTAACTGGATATTTCTATGTATAAAATTGCAGTTTATTATTTAATTTTGAGGCAAAAATGGCACATAAATAAAAGATGTTCTGGCTGGGTGCGGTGGCTCATGCCTGTAATCCCAGCACTCTGGGAGGCGGACGGATCACCTGAGGTCAGGAGTTGGAGACCAGCCTGGCCAACATGGTGAAACCCTGTCTCTATTAAAAATACAAAACTTATCAGGGCGCAGTGGTGCATGCCTGTAGTCCCTGTTACTCGGGAGGCTGAGGCAGGAGAATAACTCGAACCTGGGGGGCAGAGGTTGCAGTGAGCCAAGATTGCGCAACTGTACTCCAGCCTGGGTGACAAAACGAGACTCCATCTCAAAAAGGAAAAAAATATACATATATTTTCAACAAAATCACTTTCTTAAAAAAATTATTAGGCTTTTAAAGAGAAAATTCACTATATTCTTTTCCCTAAGATATAAAGATGCATATTAAATGAAAGAAGAAACTTTAACTGGAATTTCAGGGCATTTCCTTGTTAGAATAAAAAGATATAAAGATATAGGGAATGATTTTTTTTAAAAAGACAGCAATTACTTTTAGGTGATCCAATTAACTTTTAAGTGATCTAAAGATACTATATAAAGATATGGCTTTAATGTACGGTACTGATGGGATAAATGACCTTTATGTGATATACCTTAAATATCTTCCTTTTCCTATTTCCATATGAAAATATGAGTAAGTGAGTAAATAAACTATAAGAAAACTGCAGATGCAGGGCTATGAAAAAGAGGGATAACATGTTAAAAATACATATGCTGTAGGTCCTGTAAACTTTTAAAAATAACATTTGGGCTTTCTTCTGATTATAAAAGTGATACAAAATGATCAATATAGAAAATTCCAATAATACGGAAAAATATAAAAAAGCAAACAAAAATCCATTATTTTGTTGGCCAGAGATCACTACTTGTAACATTCTGGCATAAAACAAATCTTTCAGGTTTTTTTCTATGTATGCACATGCACAGAGTTTATTTTTAACAAAAATCTGGGATATTCTTTTGTACTAATTTTATTCCACTTCAATTATAAATATATTCCTATGGCATTAAATATTATTTTATAATTTTTAACTCGTAAAATATTTCACCCTCAGGATTATCAGAATTTAACCATTCCCCTGTTCGTTTCTACTCTTGTATAAGTAACACTCATATATAAATCTATGTACATATCTAATTATTTAGGAGAAATTTCTAGAAATATACTTGCTGGAACAAAGAAAAAAACTTTATAAGGTTCTTAGCACATACTGTCAAAGTGCCCTGCAGAAAGGCCATATAATTTATACTCCTATTGGAAGTACATGTTAATGCTTATTTCCTAAATTCATCATCAATACTTTAATCTTCACTAATTTAATAAGAATCACGTTTCATTTTAATTTACATTTCCTTAATTATCATTAAGGCTAAATATCTTTTCTTGTGTGATTACTTTTCCTTTGTTTCTTCATTTATGAACTGCCTATTTTGCCTAATTCCCTACTTTTATGAATTGTCTAATTTACTATTTGTGATAGTCATTATTTTTCTTATGAGTTTGTAAGAGGTCTTTACATATTAAAGATACTAAGTCTCTATTTGTCATTATGTGTTGTAAATATTATTTCAGTATTTACTGCAACTGATTTTTAAAATTCTTTTCTTTTTTTTAAAGATTTGGAGTCAAGTAAAATTCTTTTTTTTCTTTTCTCCCTCAGGTCTATTGAAGTGTAAATGACAAATTAAAATTGTGTGTGTGTGTGTATATATATGTATATGTGTGTGTATATATGTATATATGTGTGTATGTCACATATATACACACATATACGTACATATATATATACACACACACATATATATATGATGTACGGCATATTGTTTTTATGTATACACTGTGAAATGATTACCACAATCAAGTAAATTAACATATCCATCACCTCACATAGGTTATTTTATTTTTTGTGATAAGAACATTTAAGATAACGCTCTTAGAAATCTTTAGGTATACATTATTAACAGTAATTACCATGTTCTACCATTAGACCTCCAGAACTTACTCATCCTAACTGAAACTTTGTACCCTTTAACCAGCAACTCCCTATTCCCTACCATAACCCTACTCCTGCAATCACCATTCTACTCTCTACTTCCATGAGTTCAACTTGTTTAGAGTCCACCTATGAGTGACACCATGCAATATTCATCCTTCTGCGCTTGGCTTATTTCACTTGGCATAATGTGAGTCTCTTTTTTCTTCATATAGGTTTTTATTCCATTTAAAGTTCAATTTGGTATTTTAGATTAAAAAAAAAAAAACCCTAACTTTCTATTTTCTAAAAAGTCAATCAATTTTACCAGCATCACAAATTGAACAAGGAATCCTTTCTCTAATTATGTGAAATGCCACATTCATCATTAATGAATATGTACATATTATGTATTGGAATTTGTTTCTGGACTTTATATTCTGTTCCATTACTGAGTCTGTTTTTGAAATAGCATCACAATTTTAATTATTCTGTCTTATTAAACATTTAAGTATCTAATGGTAGGGTGTTCCTTATCATTTTTCCTAACAATTTCTCAGGTATTCTTTAAGCTTTATTCTCTCTAATGTACTTTAGGATCATTTCTGAAGTAAAAAAAAAATCAGTGTTTTTTAATATATTCACAGAATTGTGCAATCATTGCTGTTATCTAATTTCAAACGTTTTCACCACCCCACAAAACCCTGTTTCTATTAGAAGTTATACCCCATTCCCTCCTCCCCAGCCTCTGGTACCCACTAATCTGTTTTGCCTATTCTGAACATGTTATATAAATGAAATAATACAATATGTGGCCTTGAATCTGACTGCTTTCAATCAGCATGTTTTCAAGGTTCATCCACATTACAGCATGTATCAATAGTTCCTTCCTTTTTTATGGCCAACATTCCATTGCATGGCTATTCCACATTTTGTTTTCCATTCCTCAGGTGAGGTGTTACTTTTTGGCTATTATAAACAATGTGGCTATTAATGCTCTCATACAAGATTCGGTATGGAATGTGTTTTCACCTCTCTTGGGTATAATATACCTAGGAGTAGAATTACAGTGTCATATATGGTAATGCATGTTTTTCTCCAAGAATATGATATATATTAACTGTAGTTTTATTAATATATAGTAATTCTATGTTTAATTATTTGAGGAAATGCCAAACTGCTTTCCACAGTGGCTATACCATTTTACATTCTTACCAGCCATAAAGAAGGGTTTCAGTTTCTCCACATCCTAACCAACATTTATTATTGTCCATATTTTGCTGTGAAGTGGTATCTCACTCCCTGTGGTTTTGATTTGCATTTCCCTAATAGTAAAGATGTTGAATATCTTTTCCTGTCCTTATTGGTGACGTGGGTATGTTTTTTTTGGAGAAATGACTATATGTGCTTTTTTTATGTGAAGCCCTATATTAACTTGTGATTTGCCAGTAGTAATAAACTACCTGACTATGAGTCTTTCCTGCCACACTACCCTCAAATATAAATATTTTAAAATTTACTTAAATGTCTATTTAAGCATGCAGACATCAGAGAGAACATAAAATAGAAAATTAGTGTCATAATTCCACCCCATACTACTTTTAATCAATCTTTATTCTTTAACTTTTTTCTGACTAGAAAATGTTTTTATAAAAAATACAAGAAAAAAATCTATAATATTGTTGTGTGTATGTATAAATATCTGTTGAGCATTTACCATGTGTCAAGCACTGTTCCAAACACTTTAAAGTATTTGTAGTCTCATTCAACGCTAATAAATACATTAAAAATTGTATTAGGCTACTGGGTGCGGTGGCTCATGCCTGTAATTTCAGCACTTTGGGAGGCAGAGGCAGGTGGATTGCTTGAAGTTAGGAGTTCAAGACCAGCCTGACCCACATGGCAAAACCCCATCTCTGCTAAAAATAAAAAAATTAGCCGGGCGTGGTGGTGGGTGCCTGTAATCCCAACTACTTGGGAGGCTGAGGCAGGAGAAGTGCTTCAACCTGGGAGGTGGAGGCTGCAGTGAGCTGAGACTGTGCCACTGCCCTCCAGCCTGGGCGACAGAGCAAGACCCTGTCTCAAAAATAAATAAATAAATAATAATATTAGGCCTACTCTAATATAATCTATTGTGAATATTTTCCTTTATCTTCTAAAATATAATTTTGAGTCATAACAAAATATTCCAAAGTGAAGGACTGTAATGTAACAACTCCCTCATTATTGAAGGGCTACAGATTTTCTAGTTTTTCACTACTATAAATGCTACTTTTATACATCAAACTTCTATATTTAATAGCCAGTGTTTATTGAGCACTTAGTTAAGGCACTTTGATAGCCACTTTATATGAATTCTCTTTGCATCACTCAGTGAGATGGGAATTATCGTCACCCTCTTTTTCCGGATGAGAAAACTGAAGGTATAAGAGGCTAAGCAACTTCCTCAAGGCTGCACAGCAAATTGGTGGTAAAGCCAGAATGCAAAGCCAGGTCTGCATGACCACTGAGTGAAGCCTCTAATCATTCTACCATACTTCATTTTCCATTATTTCTTTATGATGAATTCCTGGAAGCAGAACTCTAAAAATAACACCCTATTTTAAAAAGCGTGATAAGTGCTGCCATGTTGCCCTTCAATAAGATTATAACAATTTGAATAATGCTTATTTTCATACTCTTACTAATACTCGAGGCCAGCACTTTAAAAAGTCATTTTCAATTTTTTAAGTTAAAAAATGCCTGCTCATTTCATATATATTTTTAAGCTGATCTAGACTACTGGTATTTTTGTGATTACCTCCTGTAATAGACAAAGCATAGCAGTAAATGTTCTAGGTGGGCCCAATGGCTTATAACAACAGAAAGGGGATTTGGTAAATTTAGGACTCCTTACTGATAACAAGAGCAAGAGATGTTGCAGTGGCAAGTGGGGAATGGAAGAATGGTAAGTCCTCCTCCAAGGGCAGGTCAAGGAAGGGTGATGACATCTGAGCCCAAGAGTGGACCCTGGCAGCTGAGCTCACCATTAATGAGTTATCCTTACCACCAGATAGTCTCAAGTAACCAAGAATTTCACTTTGGCCCCTTGTTCCTGATTTTATGGAAATGCCACTTGAAAAGGTTCACATCACGGCAGAAAAATTTCCAAAGACTTCTCAGTCAACCTGTGCCTTCCTTTTTATCTCCAAGCCTCCTCATATCTCTTTCCTCTTCCCACACACCATCAAGTCATAGATCTGAGATGACCACCAAGCACTCCATATCCCTGACTACCCACCAAACAACTTGTAATCACGCCTCCCGACTCAATATATCTTCCTTCCCCCGGCAGCTATTTCCAACAAGCCCATCCTAGATGAAGAACCATTTTTCTGTGCTCCCATTGTATTCTGATGCTTTGTAATTGCTGGTCTACTTTCTCCACTAGATTTTCAATTTGTTGAGAGCAAACACTTTTGTCTTACTGCCATACCCAGTATACAGGACAGTTGGTGGGTATGATGGGTTTTATACTTTTTCATGAATAAACTGCACTGAGTTGATCAAGCAAACTGGCAGCCAATTTTCTATCTCTAGAGGAACAGAGAAAGGAACTAAAATTGAGTGAACCTCTATTAGATGCCCAGTAATTTACATCCATTAACTCAATTAACTCTCACAATAATACACTGAGGCAGACAGTAGAGTCCCTATCTCATAAATGAAAACAATAAAACCTTGCTTTCCACATATAGCTAGTGGGGCCAAAATCTGAACCTAGGTTGATGTGATTTGAAGCCTTTGCTCTTTCTATTCCATTAGGCGGCCACCCCTCCTGAAACTCAAAGCCACATAAACTGGAAGTGGAAGGCTTCTCTTCCAGAATTATTGGCTTAAAATCCTCTGGAAGTAAAAAGTCTCCTATTTGTCCTCGCCAGGAAACAAAGAGGGAAATGGGAGCATGGGAAGAGGGATGTAGGAAGAAGAGGGTGGTAAGTTAAAATTATGTAACACTTCCCCACTTATCTGAAAGCACCAGCTGGGGCACTTCGATCTTCAACTTGACCTCTTTTAACTGTCTCAAGCCTGAGAAGCTTTTTAGATGAGCACCCTAGATTCTTATGGCACTGTGACACCATCAGAAAAGAAAAACCTGAGACACTGTAGTATATTAAGAAGGAGCAAAAGGGACACCTGGCTCTCATTCTGATGAATAATAAGTGGTACAACTGTAGCTAAGTCTAAGCCATTAAAATTCTCTGGAAATCTCCATCTCCTCATTTCTAAACTGAAAGGATTAGGCTGTGAGAGTTTGCAAACTGGCTCTGCATTCAAATAACCCTGAGTCAGTGGAAAATACTGATCTCTAGATCGACCCTCATTCTGTCTTAGTAGGCTTGGAGTGGGACTTAGGAATCCCCAGGTAATTTACAGGCTCAGCCAATTTTAAAAACACCTGGGTGAGATCATCTATTCCCTGCCCTCCTCTCCCTCTTTTCAGAGGACGAAAGTGTGAAAAGACAGCCAGCTGACTTAGTATATTGTCACATAACCAAACACTACCAAGAAATAGCAATTCCAGTTCTATAAGGCTTAATAATCCCTTCCTGTTTCAGAATAAATTGAGTTATGCTCAATCTTCCTCAATTGGTTAAACCTGCCTTTGCTTTACCACTGCACTAGCCTTAAGACTGCCAAAAACAGCACTGGTGGGGAATGCAAGATTTTCATTTAATTACAGGGTTTCTCCAGAGGTAGCAGCTGTCACGATTCTCTCAAGTTGCCAGACCATCAGTTTCTCTACTCCTTCAAAGCTCTTCTGAGGATGAACTACTACCAGAAGATTTTAAGGGCAGACAGGCAGTCTGCCCAGGAGACAATAATATCCCTACCTTGACATCTAGCTTGGCCAAGTGCTGTAAAACCCAGATGCGATGGGACCAAGCATTATAGTTGCTTGGGTATCTCCCTGCTGCTTCACCACAGACCTCCATCTCTTCTTGTATGAGTCGCTGTGCCCTTTCTGTGGGAATTGTTCCCAAGTTTCCTTTGGTCATAAAGGAAGGCAAGGAGGTTTCCTGAATTAGCTGTTGTAGCACCCATCGCCTGTTAAGGTAGCATGTGGGAAAGAGAACACAGAAAGAACATAAACCAGAGAGAAAAAGAACCAGTTTTCATTGTCCCTAATTTAATTTCCATTCAGAGACAATGCAAAATAATACCTGTTTATAAGTCCAGATTTTTGGAGATGGGGAGTGGTTGTTTTGTTTACGATGATATTAAATTTAGCAGTATGGATGAAGGGTGGAAAATGGATAAACAGGAAAATAAAAAAAAACTTTAAAATCTGTAATACAGAGAATGCCATTACTTCTAAAATGACAATCCCAAAACTCCACTTGGCCAGGACAGGTAAAGGCAATTGGTGTGTGTGTGTGGTGGTGGTGGTAAGAGGTTATAAATTAATGGCTGATAAATACTACAAGGAGTCATGATTCACATCTTTAATTATATATGCATGCCTCACCCTATGTGCATTTGTTTGCAAACAAGAAGTTGCATTCTGATAGCTTTCATTCAGCAAAATTCTGTATTTATAGCATAAAATCTGGAAAGTAACAAATACAATTCATTAAACTATTAAGGAGGTGTCAAAATATCCTTAACCACAAATT